TTGTAATCGGTGTATACTAAATACGTATTATAGTATTTATAGTGCCCTACATACTTCCACTCCTCCATATCATTTTGTTCTATGCATTGTCATCGTCGTCCTATAATATATTTCAATAAGTACTGGTGTATTCTGAACTACGTCACTTGAATACAATAAACAACATTGGTGTGCGTTTTATTTTGATATTGGTGTATTTTAACTTACTGTTGCTGTATTTTTTGTGTATTTTACCTTGCATTCATGTTGTTGAATGTAGTGCATATTTCAATAAGTAATGGTGTATTCTGAACTACGTCACTTGAATACAGTAAACAACATTGGTGTGTGTTTTATTTTGATACTGGTGTATTTTAACTTACTGTTGTTGTATTTTTGGTGTATTTTACCTTGCATTCATGTTGTTGAATGTAGTGCATATTTCAATAAGTAATGGTGTATTCTGAATTACGTCACTTGAATACAGTAAACAATATTGGTGTGTGTTTTATTTTGATATTGGTGCATTTTAACTTATTGTTGCTGTATTTTTGGTGTATTTTACCTTGCATTCATGTTGTTGAATGTAGTGCATATTTCAATAAGTAATGGTGTATTCTGGAATATGTAATTTAAAAACTTCAAATACCAATGATGAGTGTTTAATTTATGTACTCAGTGCATTTTTTATTCTGTATTGGTGTATTTTCAACATTGAACTTATATCATGCAGACACCAAGAGGAAGGCATTGGAACAAGAAGAACCCCCAGCAGCAAAACATATACGGAAGCAACAAGCACTATCATTCCTTGAAAAAATACAGACAGAGCTACAAAGTGAGGATACAGAGCATCAAAATCAAGTTGAGTCCAGCTCAAGTGATGAGGCAGACATACTGGAGAATGAAGACGAAGAAACTGGCCTAAAGATAAGACCCCTTCCCACACAATTAATGAAACCAATTGCCGCACTAACCTGTCAGCAACGCAGTTGCGTAGAGGATATTGGGCTAGGAAGAATTCTTGACCTGAATATTACCAATGTGCCAAGGAAGTTGGGGCTGTGGCTAGTTCAAGACTATGATGCTAGGAGAAACACATTGAACCTACCCACTGGTGAACAACTCCACATCACAGAAAAGGATGTTGCTGCCACATTGGGGCTGCCGATTGGAGGCAAAGAAATCGTGAAGAAGACATCCAAAGAGGTATCCAAACTCTTGACCGACTGGAGAAAAATCTTTGAAAAGAATAACGGTCACATCACCCCCCATGTTATGTTTGAGAAGATGTTGACACTAGAGGCTACTGACCCTTGGTTCAAAAGGCACTTTGCACTGCTTGTTATGAGTGTATTGGTTGAGCCCCAAGTCAATGGTTATGTCAACCAAAACTACATTGACAACCTTCATAATGTTGACAACATCAAGAAGCTAAATTGGTGTAGAATGCTCATCAACTCACTCATCACCAGCAAGCAGGCATGGCTGGACAATGTTGATGGGAGATATGGGGGACCAATTATTTTCCTGATGGTAAATAGACTACCAGCAAGATGCATCTAATTTATTACCCACTGATCGATTAATAAACTAAAATGAAAAATGCAGATATTCTATGTTGATCGTGTGGTGCTCTACCGGAGGACAGTCCCAAGAAGCTTCCCTGCCATGAAGAGTTGGACATTTAAGCTACTCCGTCAACGACAAAAAGATGAGATAAAATCTGGAGGCTTTGGATATGGCCGTCTTGAAGATGCATTGCCATTGGACAGCACACCATGCAATGAAGGAAGCCCCCCAGTAACACGTTCTGATGTTCCACCCCAACCACTGACTATTGAAAATAATACACCATTTCCCACTGCATTACAGGTAAATAGACCACTTGAAGCATATTCATGGTGTACTCCTTATATCTCTTTTACTGTTTTTATACCTATAGACTGTTGTGCATCTTACAATGGGGTACCTTAATCAGTTTGTGTGATTAAATAAGGTACTCTAATGGTGTGCTTTTTAGAAGTATTTAGTGCATATTTCGATATACATTGGTGTGTTTATATTATATCCTTCTGGTGCATACACAGGAGTTTGTTGATGAGATTACTAGAAACACAAGGACAATTGCAACAAGTTTACTGAGAATATCAAGACTGATTGAAAATGCACCTGCAGCAATTTTGGAACATGATACATTCAAGAAAATGTTTGAGTCTGCTAGACAGATGCTAGGATTCAAAGCACATGAAGATGGACAATTGACATTTACCCAAGGAGAAGACGCCTACTGGAGTGACCCTGAGTTTCTGAAAGCAGTTGATGAAATTGTACGTGCGGTTAACAAGAGGAATTTCCTAAATGATAGACCATCTTTCAGCCTAGGATTGTCACAAGATGAACCAAATAGAGGATGGACAGATGTGAGTGATATTGCACGTGACTACCAGGATGTTAACGAAGCTGATGAACCTGTCGAAGTTCAGTTGGGTGTGGATGAGGATCAAGCAGCAGACAAAGCTCAAAAATGCACTGAGATAGATCAACAAAAACCTATATCTGACCAAAATCAACAGGCTCTGCATGAGACTCGAGCAGATGACACCAATAATGAGGTAATGAACTATAATAAATCCAACATCACAAAAAAAAAAAACAAAAAACAAAAGAAAGTAACACACTATAAAAACTGATACTCTCAACTTTGAATGTTACAGATCACACCAGAATGCCAAGGGCAGCCAGCCCCTGCCTCAAGTCCAATCCCCCCACCCCAACCAGCAGACAAAGGAAAAGGCCCAGCTAGAGTGCATAGCCCAATTAGACGAAGACCCATCTCATACGTGCTTGACATTGACACACCATTATCTGCAACAGAGGATGCTATCAGGCAGTGGGTATTGGAAAACCCTAACCCAGATCTGTAAGCACAACACACTATAAAAAGATGGTGTGCTGTTTATATATATTTGGTGCATTATATAATGATGTTGGTGAATAAATATCCTATGTACATTGATGTGTTATTCAATGTGATATTAGTGTATAATATGTTAAATGTTGGTGTGTTTATACTAAATGATTTGGTGACTGGTTGTGTTTTGTACCTAACATATTTCTTTGGTTTCAATAGGACCCAAGAACTATTCAAGTATGAAGGAAGGGTAATCTACTGGAAAGATATGTTGTTAATGAGGCCAGATGCAGAGATACCAGTCTCTATAATTGATGCTTGGTCAGCCATAATCAACATTCGTGAGTCAGAAAGGGGATGTACAAAGTTCATTGCTTCATTGTGGACAACTGTGAGTGGATAATATAAACCTAGCTTCAACTTTAACAAGCTTAAAGTTCTAACAAAAATACCATTACAATTTGCAGCTGTACATATTTGTGGACCCACAAGGAGATGAGGATGTTAGATTTGCAAGATTCAGATCAAAGTACCTCGAAGACAAATCCATTGCAGCCGACGTTAGGTGGAACAACATTCTATACGTAAGATATTAATATACATATTAAGTGCTTTATATTTTCATACTAGTTGAATTTTGACTTTAGACATTTGGTGCATTCTATTATTTATCTATTTGTGGTGCATTACTAACCATCGTTAGATTCATACTAACACCCCTAAAACATATCTTTTTGCTATAACGGTTTTTGTTTCCAATTGTGTCATCCAACCACTACTACCTGTTTTCCATTAGCCCAATAATGGAAAGATTTGAAATTATTGACAACTCTTCCGTCAATGTAAAGAAAGACAACAAGTATGGGACTGTGCTTGCAAATATGGTAACACACTAAGCCCTGACTAATTACATATATTTAATGCACAACTACAACAAAAATACTCAGATTTGTATTACTTGATGCAACAAAAGTTCTTATCAAGGTTCTTGACTGACATGAAATCCTCATACAAGGCTGAGAAAGTGAATAAGGTGAAATCTAAGATAATAAAAATGCCTTGGAGAGATGCACACAATAAGGTGGATTGTGGCATCTTTCTCATGCGCCATTTGGAGACTTTCCGAGGGCAAACACAGGAGCAGTGGCAGTGTGGACTTCAGAAGGACAACAAAGAGAAGTTGAACAAGCTACGAGTGTGATACATGGCTGCCCTAATCATGTCAGACTTAAATGAACACAAACAGAGGAACATTCAGCAAGCAGCAGAGTTCCGGGTTTTAGCAGAAAGTTAATGTGGAAGAAAGACAATGTGAATGGCTGACTTGACAGATTTTTTTGTGGTTTGTGATGACTAGTAGACATTTTTGTGATGTCGGACAGATATTGTGACCTCTTTATATCTGCTTTTTGAAATATAACAATGCACCCTATGATATAGTAAAACGCACCATGATCTATTATAAAATGCACAAATATTTCTGTATTATAAAACGTCTACACACCTGTAAAATACACCAACCACACAAATAAAACACAAACCAATGTTATTTATTATATTCAAGTGACATAATTCATAATACACCATTCTGAATGAAATATACACTATATTCAACACCATGAATGCAGGGTGAAATACACTAAAAATACAACAACACTAGGTAAAAAAAATGCGTAATATAACGCACCACGATGTGTGTGAAAACGCACCATTATCTATTATAAAATGCACAAGTCCAAACATATTTCAAAATCCTGATTCTCTGTTATGAAATGTCTACACACCTGTAAAATACACTAATCACACAAATAAAACACAAACCAATGTTATTTACTGTATTCAAGTGACGTAATTCAGAATACACAATTTCTAAATGAAATATACACTATATTCAAGACCATGAATGCAAGGTGAAATACACAAAAAATACAGCAATAGTATGTAAAAATACACCACGATGTGTGTCGAAACGCACCATGATCTATTATAAAACGCACAAATAAAAAAATGTTTAAAAAATCCTGATTCTATGTGTTGTAAAACGTCTACACAATTGTAAAAACATCAAATTCCACAATAAAGACCAACTAAGAAAACAAACACAACTCTAGCCATTTAATGGGCACATCCTACTATTATGACCATATTCATCACAAGTATGGCATTTCCTTGATTGCTTTACACACTTATTCGGAGCTTTCTCCCTTGCACTCTTCATCCGCTTCTCGCTGCCCTTGTTCTTAGCTTTAATTGGATCACGCACCTCCACTGTTGACCCCTGAGACACATCACCACAAAATGATTTAATCACACTTTCCTTGCTGCTACCAGCCACCGCATTGTCATCCTCACACCCATCTTTGAGAAAAAACTACATTTGCTCACAAATAACACGTCTTATTTGTTCCAACCATTCTACATTACCATCAGCCAATCCCACGAAAGCATATATTTCAGACCACATTAGATTAGTAAGCACCCTAACATTATCCACTTTAGCCGATTGATCAACAACCGTATCATCAATATCAAATATTGGCTTCAAACAAGCACCCTTTATCCACCGAGACACCAAATACATAGAAGGAATTCTCTCAAGTCCACGGTCTTTAAACACAAAAAAGATATGCCTACTCACCAACTCCATCCACTCAAACATCTTGCATGAACAAGTAGCAATAGAGTCAGCCAACAAAAACTCCACACACCATGCCTTCTTGTCACCATCTTTTATCCCATAACACACCTTACCATCACAATCACACAAAGACACCACTCGACAAGAAAACCAACCTTCACAAATCTCTACTTGAACATCATAAAATACAAAAATGGTATATACATCCATTGCATGTTTCTCCAACGCCAATGGTGTCTTCAAAACAGGAAAACAAGATTTAGAGTCAGCAGTCAATTTTGCTTGTGCATGTCGTTGTGCACTAATAGCACTATCAAAATGCACTAAAAACTCAACCAAACTGGAATGACCATTAGAGAAACTGCCAAAAAAACTATTTTGAGACTCTGATCGAGACGTTGTCCTAACCAATCATGACATAAACTCATCATGAAAGTATGGAGATGCCCAAAATGTACAAGACTCAAACAAGTAAAGAAACCAACCATTATCAATCAAACCATATTCCTCCATAATACGACTCCATGAATCCTCAAAAGCTTTGGAATCTATAGATTTGTTCCAAACAATGCCATTCAACTTCCTCCTAAACACCTCGTCCTTAGCTAAAACCGGTCCAACCTTCTCACCAACCTTGCACATTATATGCCACATGAAGAATCTATGTTTTGATGTACCAAACACACGAGCAACTGCAACCTTGACAGCTGGATCTTGGTCAGTAACAACACAAATAGGTTCATGACGCATGGTTGTCTTAAATCTCTCCAAAAGCCACAAATATGAGTTTACGTCTTCCCTCGTAAGTAAACCAGCACCAAATGTGATGGATCTCTTATAGTTATCGATTCCAGTAAATGGAACAAACACCAAATTATACCTACTGAATGCAGAGCACAACAACTATTGAATACCCTAAGTATAACAAAAACACACTATATGACATTGAAATATGCACCAGAATATTATACAGAATACACATTAACTATAAGTTACTAACCTGTTAGAGAGGTATGTAGCATCGAATGAAACAATATCACCAAACAATTCAAAATTCTTCCTTGATACTGCATCTGCCCAAAAAACCCTTGTAAGCTGATCAACGTCATCAACATCATATTCAAACTCAAAAGCCTTGCACAATTCACGCCTTTTAAAAAGCGTATCTATGAATAGTTGAACATCACCATTCAATATGTATGCCATCAAATCACGCTTGAAATTCTTAAAATCCACCCCAGTAGCACCAACATTGGAATACTCACCAACAATCTCCCTAAACAGCTTATACGACCGAACATAACCAATATTTGTCCGAACACAACTTGCAATGAACATTTGGTGGCCAGCATCAAGATTACGATTCACCTTTAAAATTTACTTAGCAATGATTGACCACATCACATGAGAGTGTCGTTCCTCCAAAAAATGCACAACATACTGTTATAAACAAAGATTATTGTGGACATTATTATCAATATTGTAACAATTATTACTTATTACCATTTATATGTATTGATGATTACCTTGTATATATAGAATACCTTTGTAGATGAATGATACAAGGAATGAGATGATCCTCTTCTTTTCTCCCTTATCTCTCTATTTGTGAATATTCTTACAACACGTTATTAGCAGTGATGCTTTACCCAATAATTATCGAAGATGTTCGGTGGAAAGCGGCCAGCGGCAAATTGACTCCCGGAGACTTCCGTTCGTAGAAGGCCAATCGCCAGCTGCGAAGACCAATCAGGTCTTGTCTGGATCGCCGAGAAGAGAAAGCTGATCTGGCCTCGGACTGCGACGTCTACTTCGATTCCGATTCTGAATCTCGCAAGTGACTTACGGGGATATTGAATATGAGATCCCCTGGCAAAGAATTAGAGATGGATGCAGATCATATGATCGCTACTATAAGATACATATGTAGAAACAAAGAATTCTTATTTATGGACATTATTATGGCATTGATTACTTGATTTGTAACTGTTGTAAGAGTCAATTTGTGTAGATTATATATATATATATATATATATATATATATATATATATATATATATATATATATATATATATATATATATATATATATATATATATATATATATATATATATATATATATATATATATATATATATATATATATATATATATATATGATGTATAAGGATATAATGAGATGATGAATAAAGCAATGATTCTCCCTTTCCTCCCTTATCTCTCTTTCTACAATTCCTTTTGATCAATCACGTTTGAGCTAATGGGTTACAACACGTTATCAGCATGCTCTGATCTCTAGGTGAACGGAAACCCAAACCCTAAACCCACACACGCCAACCGCAAGTACTCTGGCGATTTGTGAGAAAAGAATCACAAAACCTTCTCAAATTTCTTTGGCCATTTTTTCCAGCGTCGGCGGCCGGTGTTTGGCCCAACTGAATCGGTCATCTTCTTGGTCCCTTTGAGATCATTATGGAGGTGGGTCGTCCGCCTCCAGAACCACCTGTAGCGGTTGAGAAATCTACCTATTCATGGAATTCGCGACTTTCAAGCAGATTTGCGACGCAGGGGTTCTACGTTATCTCCATCGACGATCAAGTGTCTCCAGGATAGCGATGCCCTACCTCGATTTTTAGAGGCCTTCGTCAAGCTGTCCTCACCATCATCCGGTTCACGATCATATTCCATCTGTGATTTCTTGTAAGCTGCCTGAGTAAATAGCGCAATCTTCAGCGATCCAGCCATCGGATCAGGGTGTTGATGGTAGACTTAGAATCACCTCTTCATCGCAATCAATCACCACTGCTCCGATCGATGATCTGCCACCAATGATCAGGGTGACGATCGGAGGCCATCTGCAAGATCTCGTGATTCGAATTTGTCATCTGATGGCCCGTATGTTGATCGGAGATCAACAAAAATTCTAGGATTTTTGTCGCGGCCGACGATTTCTCGACGCTTGGAGGTTGGTGCTCCAAATATAGAGGGTGGAGTTGGATGGCTTTGGTGTAGCGATGGCTTCTAGCTTACCTACTGTGCCTTCTGTTTTTGGTCCTCATGAAGCGATTAAGGAGGGTGGTCGTGATGTCCGGCCTTCCGTCGTGATGACAGACTAAAAGGACAGTTTCCCCGAAATCAAGAAACGACGATTGGGGTTCCGAGGCTGAGTTTCAACGCGTTTCGTTAATGTGGAGAAGTGCGTAGATTGTCTGCATCGAACTCGCGCTCCAATCCGGTAAAATTATTTATTTTGAAAAGAATTATCTTTTTATTTATTCGATACAAATAGATGGATGCAGAATTATCTTTCTATTTACTTATTTTTCTATGCTGCTTGGGTTTCTTAAAGCTCCTTTTCCTTGCAAATATGTGAATTACAAAACCCACATGATTATCATTGTTCCGCTGTGGACCTTATATGTCATTTCCAGTTGTAGCCTCATAGCTTTATATAGCTTTATAAAATTCGCATGATATTAATTTTTTTTTTTAGATATATCTATGTATGTCTAATGCCATATCTTTGTATAAAATATTATTTAAGATGGAGATATGACATATGCTTTTGCATCCAGTTGATGCGCATGCATAGAATTAGAGAGCTTAATTAAAAATATTTTGACACTTTATTGATGTGACCAATGCATACATTGTATGGTCGATGCACTTGTTGTCAAGTGACAAATTATTGATTGTACCACAAATTGCTATCTCATGCTTTACAGCGATATGAGTCATCACAAAAGAGCACTTATACTGATTTGCTAACTAAACAAGATTATAGTGCCTAATTTTTAATATAGCTTTGCCCGGAAGGCAAATCCTTAGTACTAATTATACGATAATTGCACTATGATAATTTATATAATTCGAGTTCAAAAGTCTATTTATTGTGTTGGGGTACTCGGTTATGCTGATTATTTGTCATGAGTCTAGATCATTGAAGATCTCAAATCTTTGTATTTAGACAAAATAATAGTGTCAATTTTTTAATATAGTGTTGCCCAGAAGGTAAACCAAGAGCAATTATACTACATGTTTTGAATATCATTGTTTTTTTATAAGAAACAAAAAAAAAATTAGTTTTTTTTTTTGGAATAAACTCTCTGAGTTTTAAATCTTCCATACATGAAAATGTTTTGGACATGATTGGGCTACTTTCTAATAAGGTGGAAGACCTCAAATGGGATTGATCTTTAAGGTGCCTAATGGCTCATGAATGAAGTTTGCATTTTCTATTTCTAATGTTATGCTACTCTCTAAAAGTAAAAATTGACTCACATATGTTGGTTTGCCTGAAGCAAACTCATTGGGGAACGGTACTCTCATTTTATTTTCTAATTTATGAATTAATAGAATCTCTCTTGTCATGTCATGCATTGTGTGTACCACACATGATACTCTTTGTTTAAAGTGGATGTGCGTGACTTAAATGAGATTTTGATGTCCTAGACATAAGGGACATTTATATCACATATTGATTATGCTTCTCTTTAATTGACAACATTTAGCATATAATCTCTTGACTAGGCTCATAGAAGAGAATTTGTTATTTCTCTTGTTGGCAATTAATTATTTGCTATAGGCCACAACTATAGTAATTTATCACAATGTATAAGTGAGACAATAACATGAATTCTCAATATGGTTTTCATTGTTAGGTTGCACATGTCGTTGTTAAACCTTAATTTGATCTTGTGACATCAATTAGATTATATGAGTCTAAATATTGTGATACATAGCATAAATATTGAATATAGCTTTGCCCAGAAGGCAAATTTATTGCACTAATTATATGATAATAGCACTAGGACAAATTCCCCAAATATAAAATTGACTTGGTATTGATTTAAAAGTCAATTGTTATTTGTCCAAAACTCAAGTTTATTGGTTGCGCTAACTTATTATAGCATTGTTTCACATGAGTCTTTGACATTGAAATAAATCTCAAATTTGAGTATTTAAACAAAAGGATAGTACCTAATTTTTAATATAGTTTTGCCCAGAAGGTAAATTTAGAACGTTAATTTATCTGTCACTAGTTATCTTGCATGTCATTTATGATAGTCACATTGTACTCCAGTAGTAGTTCTTTGAGTGACCAATGACTCATGACTCGTGAATGAAGTCTCTGCAACTTCTATTTTTAATGCTATGCTACTATGCAAAAATACTATGTGCTTAACCGCCAAAAAAGTGAGTCACATCATGTTGGTTTGCCTGAAGCAAACAAATTGTTAATATTTGATAATTTTTCAACATCTATACTTCTTTTGGCGTTTAATCTCCCTAAGATTATCGAATGTTTCACTCATTTTGTTCAATGTGTATGCTTGCCCTATCTGATTTTATATGCCACTTGAGGTAAATTTCATATACATTTGAGAACTTATTTTGTTGCGATAATCTTTACATTTTAGAGACCCCTTTTTTAATTATGGCATGACCAATTGGGTCACTGAGGGCAAACATAATGAGTTAGATATTACAATTTCTTATCCACATGAGTATTTTATAAAGCACGTGTGGAGGAGAAATTATTGAATGATCTGTTTTGGGGATATACTTTTGTTTGAAATCCAAATCTAACTCACTCCATATCACAACCCAATCCCTCCAGGATTGTTATACCTAGTACATGGTTTCAAAATAAACATTTCCCTATATGCGTTATTATTTATAGTGCGCAATCTATTTCAATATATCACCACCACAACGTACCTCTAAAAAGGCTACCAAAGAAGCCTTAGTCTCTTGATTAATTAATGCCAAGAGCACATGATAGGAGACTAATATACATATCCTTAGGTACGCTGACTGCATACTTAATTAATGAAGATTGTTTCTCGGCATTAGGGGGAGATAAGAGTTCAAATTTGAGTTAATGCCATTTTTGGTACTAGACTTATGGGGGCATGAACACATTTCATCCTCCATAATAAAAATTGTCAATTTGTAGTCACGCTTATTGGTCGTTGGACAATTTTAGTCCTCCGTTAGTTTCTACGTTTCCTTACTGTTAAAATGAAGGGTTTTTTAGTCTTTTCAAGTAGTCTTCTTCTTTATTCCAAAAATAAGAACCATTGGAGACAAAAATAAGGTCAACTGAACAAAATACCTTGGATTATTGTTCAAAATGTTCATGTGTTTGTTGTAAGAGAAAGGATGGTGGCCGCTGGAAGTAATGAATTGAACTGTGTGGATGCGGCGGCGGCGGCGGCGAATCTCTGTTGCTGAAGAGCTTTCATCCGGACCCATCTGTGAGGAGGCGGCGATGGCGGCTAATCGCTGTTGTTGAAGAGCTTTCATCCGGACCCATCGACGGAGTCATCAATACTGCCGTTGCTCCCATTATTTCAAATTCATATGCCAAAGTATATAGTTGTGAATTAGATGGTCGCCGGAGCAAACCATCTGGGTTTTTTCATTTTTCCAGTTCCGTGTTCTATTTTTGAATCAGATGGTCGCTATGAATCCTATTTTTGCAGTTCCCTATTGATGCTGGGATTTTCTATCTTTTATGGTTTTATTTCTGTGAATTTGAGCCTCAATTGATAAATAACAATTTTCACATCTAGGGTTGCGAATTGAATTAGATGGTCGCGGGATTAAACCATCTGGGTTATTTCAATTTTTGCAGTTCCCTGCTCTATTTTTTAATCAGATGGTCGGCTGTGAATCCTATTTTTGCAGTTCCCTGTTGATGCTGGATTTTTCTATCTTTTCTGGTTTTATTTCTGTGAGTTTGAGCCTCGATTGATAAATAACAATTTTCGCATCTATTGTTGCGAATTTGAGCTATGTGAATCAACGAGCTTTCTCCTTGTTGCTGCCGTTGTTCATCGCAAGCCAACCACCTGTGGCTCATCACCACTGCCATGGGGTCTCCTTGCTGCTGCCGTTGTTCACAGCCGCAACCGCCACTGACTGCCACCACCGGAGAAGACCTCCACTTCCGTTGTGATCTGCTTAGGGAAAAGAAGACATAAAATGACATAAACGCCCATCAATTTCACAGTCAACAAACGGCACTTCTGACGGAGGACTAAAAATGTCCAACGACCAATAAGCGTGGCTACAAATTGGCAATTTTTATTATGGAGGATGAAAAGTGTCCATGCCCCCATAAGTCTAGGACCAAAAATGGCATTAACTCGTTCAAATTTAATAGAATGCCAAGAAATTCCATAGAATAAAAATATCTCCATTATTTAATCCATGTACTAGTTAGACTGAACTGAAAGTTCAGAAGATGATATATTTGCGATATTAGCAAATAATCTGCCAAATACATCTATTGATCATACTGATCATAAAAGAGTGACTAGGTCCATATACCATCCCCAATTTGGACCAAATATATCTATCGATACTCCTTGATGCCAGAAGTGTAGGAGATCTATCGGTGTAAGAGATAAGAATCATTATACTGGATCTAGTAAATAAACATTGTCACTCTTGATATACCTTGAATAATTATGTCTTGGAGACGTTCGTCCAGATGACGAAAAACCCTAGTCAATTTATAGGTGCACCAAACAAACACAATACTAGAGATGCGGAACGACCAGATCAAAATACCTTTGGGAAATGTCTAGAATCTGGTTGTTTTAGAAATTGCCATTACTTTTACAAATATGGGAGACATTTATAAAAAGGTTATAGTTGTCGACAACACAATTGCCATTACAAATTGCTCCGTTATATGATAATCTGGATCCAGAGTTAGGCACCGGAAGTGCCACGACTATTTAACGTATAAAGGAGCAATTAAGGCATAGCTCGACTTGCTAAAATGGATAATTCTCTTTATAACAATACACCGTTAAGCGTTAACCCTGAAGGTTACAAATGAGTGTGTGCATGAAAGAGAAATAAGAATAATGAGGTGATAGAATATGAAGCGAGTTTGTAGCTTATGGGTTCACGCAGAGACCCTTGATTGATTTTATTCAAATATTCTCTCCCACGGTAAATGGCATTAAGTTCCGCTACATAATACAATTGGCAGAATAATAAATTTAGATATGTAGTTAAGTTTATTTTGAGAAATCCCTAATGGATTTATATTTCCCGCAATGAGGAGTTATTTAAGTATTATTATGTGCCATTATTTACTCTTTAAAGAGTTGCAAATGGGGTTATTATCCTCATGTAGAAGGAATAATATGTACCATTATGTGCTCAGCAAAGAGTTGATAATGGACTCATTTATTATCTCAGTTAATATTGATGGTATAAGCATCAATGAAATATATAAAGAGCTTGATGATATCAGTTCATGTCTAAAGACGGAGATTTTGAAACAAAAGCTTGGGAAAGCTAAATATTATCTCGACTTGAAGATTGAGTTTTTCCTTGAAGAAATTTTTATACACCAGTTAGTCAATATATGATTTTGATTGGATACTTAGACAAGCCAATATATAATGGGCTACTTGGGTACTGGCAATTATTTTTGTATCCCAATAATGCCAAGTTCCAAAACTGGTTGTATTATATTTACCCCCATTGTCCCATAAAGGGTCAATAAAGATTGTGTTGCACAAATGATAAAAGAATATATAATGAAATCCTTTTGACTAGATATTATGATATCAATATTATACCCACGTGACCTCCAGAAGAGTCACAGAATTATTATAGAGTATATTCATTCCATTGACAGTTGTGACACCCCGTATTTTCCTAAAAATAAATTATAGTCCCAATAATAAATATTTTAATGAAAATATTTATACAGCTATTTATTTTAAAATGGACTCGGGTCTACCTATTAGTGTGAACCGGTATTTTTGTGTCCAAATGCCTTAAGCCCAAAATGTATTTATTAATTATATGTTATGTATGCTTTGAACCCAAACTAGTCAAGTCCATATGTGTGAATAAATATATGTATTATATTTATTTTGTGAGCCCAAAATATATTTATATATTTTTGTATAACCCTTGACCCAAAAGAGTGACCCAACCCAAATTGTGGTCTTGGACTTTAACCCAAACCAAGTCTATCCTAGCCTATGTTGGCGTTGTTTTGGATGTTAAGTGAATGAGGTAACCCATGCTCTATAAAATCTATTTTGCTTACCTATGTGATGATTTCTTGGAATCTACATGTGATTTTGCTATGAAATGTGAGTGTTTATGCATTGTCTTGTGAAAATGCATATCTAGAGCTTGTGTTTAGGGTTCTTGTATGCCATTGCTTGGCTATTCCTTTGATTCAAGTCATGTTGCTATATTTGGTGAGATTTGGCATGTTTTGGACTTGAATTTGAGCTTGGTGTTGAAAATCCCCGAAGGGATTTATGTGTGGCTTCGTGTTCCCCGCGGGCAGGAGCACGGGTGGGGCATTACCCGTGAGGAACAATGTAGCGCTGGGTATGTACCCCGCGGGTGGGACCACGGGTAGTGCGGAGCATGGGTAGGGCACTACCCGTGGTCCCACTCGCGGGGAACATCATGGTTGATGTTCGGGATTTGTTCCCCGTGATTCTTTTGACTCGGCATTTGTCCTTTTGACTTCCCGATGTTCTTTCGTGGAACTATTTGAGTGTCACCTTGATGTTTCGTATGTCTAAAACTATATGGTAGGAATCCATGTAGGTTTTTGTGTCTTGAATCGTGCTAAGTGTTCAACATTGTGTTTCGTTGAACCGTGATGAGTCTGGTGTGTTCTTCGGAACTGCGTTTGTGTGACACCCCGAAATCCAAATTCGATTAAGGGATTAATTAAGTAATTAATCCTATCTCAAATTGTAATTCAATTCCTTAAATTCCTGAAATCTAATAGTCGGGGACTAGTAATTGACTAGTCAACCCCAAAGTCAAAGTTGTACCTTGAGCTTTGTAAGGATTTCCCTTGTTCCTTACACCTTTGCATGTTAGTAAGGGTATTCTTGACCTTTCACCTTGTGTTAGTATTGTAACCTAACCTAGTGAGAACACCTCATTTCTATCCTTACACTTTCAAAAATCCTAGCTCCATCTTCTCTCTAAAAAGGTGTGTAGCTTTTCTTCCAAGCCAAGTTGAAACCTTGTCAAGACTTCAAAAGTTGTCTCTAAGATTCTACCTTTCATACATTTGGGCATCTAGGAGGGTAAGATCCATGTTCATCTTGTGTTTTTAGTATTCTCTTAGGTGTTTTTTCTTAAAGATAGGATCTTTATGATCTTTTGGTGTGTTTTTGAAGTGGGTTTGGAAGGTGGGCTTTGATAGGAGCTTGGTGTGGTGTTAAGTGAAGGTTTTTGGTCTACAAGAGGTAACCCATGCTCTACAAAATCTATTTTGCTTACCTATGTGAATATTTCTTAGATTCTACTTGTGTTTTGCTATGAAATGTGAGTGTTTATGCATTGTCTTGTGAAAATGAATATCTAGAGCTTGTGTTTAGGGTTCTTGTATCCATTGCTTGTCTATTCCTTTGATTCAAGTCATTTTGTTGTATTTGGTGAGATTTGGCATGTTTTGGACTTGAATTTGAGCTTGGAGTTGAAAATCCCCGAAGGGATTATTTTGGGCAGAGTCCTACCCGCCGCCCCACCCGCGGGAACGTGGCTTGTGGGTGTTGGTACCCGCGGGCAGGACCACGGATAGGGGCCTACCCGTGGGTCCACCCGCGGGGAACATGTTGGTTTTGTTGGGGGATTTGTTCCCCGTGATTCTTTTGACTCAGTATTTGGTCTTTTGATTTCCCGTTGTTTTTTTGTGGAACTATTTGAGTGTCTTCCTGATGTTTCGTATGTCTAGAACTATATGGTAGGTATCCATGTAGGTTTTGGTTTCTTGAATCGTGCTAAGTGTTCAACATTGTGTTTCGTTGAACCGTGATGAGTCTTGTGTGTTCTTCGGAACTACGTTTGGTTTACCCGTTTGTTAAGCATGCCAGTTCGGTGTTTAAATGTTAGCATGTGTGTTGTTCGTACCTTCTTATGAGTTGATGATAACTTGTGTTATTCATCATTGTTGTTGTTGGACTGTGTTCCATTCCTTGATTGAGTATGGTTTCATATCTTCGTTGTGATCCGTTGATTGATTCCTGATGTGGTGTGATGTGTGTGTGGCTTTACTTGGATTGCACGATTAGTGGTATGGGACACTAGTTACCAAGGTATTGCAGTGGTCCTCGTGGTGGCCATGACGTGATTATGGAGTTGTGACCTGTGTGTCAGGTTCACGTGTTTTGGGTAAGGCGTGTGTCGCCGTGTGTGTGAACGGTACCCTCGTGTACTATGAAATTTGTGGTCTTGTTGGTGGTTTGTTGGTGGGGGACGACGGTCCCAGGAGGGAAAAGGTTGGACTAAGAAGT